TAATTGTCAGAATGGCTAAGGCCGCGAAGCGGCTGCAAGCTATTCTGGATTATATGAAGAAGGTGAAGTCGAGCACATCAACTATCCACACCCTCCCTCCCAATGAGAGGAGCTAATCAAAGGCCGACTGGAAATGGCAAGTGCATGGGATTATATGGACATGAGGCAAGTGGGCGGATGGGCGGTACAAGAGTTATAAAACATTGCTTATAAAACTTTGGTTATAAACTTCAAATTAGCTATGAGTTAAGAAAACTGGCCAAACACAGTTGATGTGCTTTACTTCACCTTCTTCATATAATCCAGAATAGCTTGCAGCAGCTTCGCGGCCTTAGCCATTCTGACAATTCTCCTTGTTCTTGGACATTTTTAATTTCTTTTACCATGTAATGATGTAATATGCTCAATACGTCACCAGACATGTGTTCATACAAATTTGATGTGTGGCTGTCTCAGGTAACAAATTAATATACATATACCATACCTTCGAGGCCTTTGATCTTACAATAACTATAGTATCTAGATACTTAAACATTCTCTAAGCTGCAATTTGGACTTTGCAATTAAGAAAGCCCTGCAACAGGTACAGGAAAGATCAGCACAATGCAATTTCTTGGTTGAGCTATTATATTATGACTTGACGAAAACAAGTGAGAAGCAACAACTTGATCTCCCTCAACACAGGGGAGACGTAATCTGTTAAGTATCTACTCGTTAGGAGGGGGCTACATTTTCAATGACCTCTCTCATATAAGAACAGCGACAAGCATAATCTGCTGTCATAAAAAATGACAGGAGCTATTGGCCTAAAGTACTTAAAGGTGCTGAATTTACAACTTTGAAAATTATTTTAAACCATTGTCAATTTTAACTGATACTCTTACTGGAGAAAACAAGTAACAGCATGAACAGAAAATCTCAACAGAGTCACGGAAGTACTTGTGAATTAGTTAATCAAGTGTCCTTTCTGAAAGGATGTGAAGTCTTTCTGGCCCCATACCAAATGACTCTCATAATCGTCTAACACAGACAGAGTCATTAAAATTTTTTTTGGCTGAGAATATGGACTAATACTAATTTTTGTTAATTCCTCTTTTACATTTACTTTTTGCAAATACAATCACTCATTACACATCATAATTGTGATTATTGTTATAATTGTAAAACATTTATAAATCAGTCATCTTCACTGAGTAAATGTATTGGCCCATCACTACTACCTACCCATTTAAAATAGAAATGCAATAAAAGGAAAAAATGTACCCCAGCAGGCACAAATTTGGTGATCATTCTATTTCTTAGCCAGTTATATGACAAGGACTACAAAGCTAATAGTTAAAATGCTTGTACATGTAGGAACTAATGTTAGCAAATAAGTATAACATATTGTATGGGCTCAGCCCTCTCATTTGAAGAGTGTGATGTCTTATAATTCTGATTATCTAAAATTAAATCTCCATTTTATTTCACTAACTCCGCCTAAAGTGTTTTCATAAAATAATTGCACTTTTCAGAGATTAAAGTTAATCGCAGCAAAAGCTGCATGCACAGTAACTCTACATGTACCTCAACAATGGTCATCAAACACTAATAACTTAGTTCATGAAACAATCACATTACTAATCCCATTTTTACTCATAATCAATGATACTCTCCTATACTATTTACATTTATTGAATTCAGTTATTGTTATTGAATAAAAGGTTTAACAAACCCCCTCATACACAAGTATATAAAGCCACATTAAAATAGTAATTGCAGCAATAAAAATGAAGCTTACATGTGATAAAGCATAACTCCAACTGACCACATATCTGTTTTTGTACCAACTGACTCACTGGAAATCACCTCTGGAGCTAGAAATAATAAAAAATAATGTTACACAACTAAATATGTGTATGTAATACTTATAACATGGCTAGGAGTGATGTTTCTAATTTACAGTGACCAATCCCGAAGGCGTGTGCACCCGAGGGGGAGGTGACTCTAAATTAGATACATCACGAACTAGCCATGTTATGAGTTACTTATGTCATGATGACGCACATCAAAGGCTCTGCACAAATGCATGCGCAGATGTACCACGTGCTAACATTGAACAATAATGACTGAAGGAGCTTGTGAGCAAGAGATTGAGAATAAGCAAAATATCAGACAATAAAGACTTCAAAACTGTGCCGAGAAAGAGATGGCAACAGTGCTAGAGCTAGAAGAAGAGATAGAAGTGGCATTAGAGGACAAAACACCAGATGGATACACCGTAAGGGTACACCCATTCAAAGCCGGATCTGATCTAAACGAGAAAGCAAACAGTACACAATACAACATCAAGGCATGGCTCCTTAAAACGACAACTTTTATATAAGGTTTTCCAATTAATGAAATTGTTACAGCCGTCTTCGTGTATTCAGTACTATCCTGCACCAGTCCATCAAGAATATAAAGAGTTATAATTGGGTGGCTTATAACATCATTATGGGTGGGTTAGATCACTGTTATGGGTGGCTTAGATCACCGCTGTATCTTGCTGGGTTATAGTGCACGCGGTACCTTTGATGTGCGTCATTAGTAGGACATAAATTAAATTAAAATTCACATGACATTTAGTTATCTTTTATGATATACATACAAAAAAATTAAGCAATAAAAGTAATTATCAATACACAAGACAATACAAATTATATTACATTATTTATAAATGCAATCGCAAAATGGTAAAGTATTGAGTTGAAAATTATTACTAAAAACTAACAGCAGCAAAAATACTTTAGTTGTATAGACAAGACAAAACTAGTTACATTACATTAACTTTATTGCCAAAGCATTATGCTATGTAAATGCTAAAAGTATTGAGTTGAAAATTATTATTAAAAACAAACAACAGCAAAAGAAAATTAAGCTGTGAATATACAAAATGATAATAAAAGAAAGGATTCGGATTAGTGTGAAAGACACCAAAAGAAAACATAACAGATATTCAGTTAATCATAAAGTGTATTTTCAAACACTTAGATATCTGTTTAAACAATTGAATATGGCCATACATAAAGTTATAACATGATACAAGGATTACATCATATCTCTAAAACTTAGTATGGTACAATACATAATTCCACCCTTAATTTCCTTTGTCTCACTTGTTCTGTTTTTTTTCTCACCTACGTATTTGTTGCCTAAAGATATGGCTAGCATTTTTGCCCCCACCCATAAGTTGCTCAGACAGCTTTCATAAGAATTCATCTGAGTTTTTTAAAGAGATACACAGTGTCAGTATTAAAAATGGAAAATTATCGTGAGTTTTGATGTGGTGAGTCTGTTCACAAAACTACCTGGTGATGAAGTTATGACGATTACTAAACAATAATAAAGGATTGATAGACTGAAAAACTATAAAAGTAGAAGATATTCTAAAATTAACAGATCTGTTTCAGATCTGCTCAAGCATACTTTAAACTTTTGGGACAGTTTTTAAAAAGATAAAGAGAGCAGCTTATGTTCTTTTTTGTCAACTATTGTTGCCAATATCTATAAAGATTGCTTTTAAGAGATGGCCCTAAATACTGCAGAACCCCCAGTTTGTGCCAGCCAAAAATTTTGACACAATCTTACTTTCCTATTAAAGTTCATTTTTGCTGATAACAATTTTGCCACAGTGACTATAAACATGCCTACTGAACAGGCAAAATACCGTACAGGGGTTACATTTCGCGTTTTCATTTAAAATTGCAAAATTACACTCCATAAAAGAGGCGTGGCACGCTTGAAAAAATGACTGCAGAAGGTAGGATTCGCAAAAATTTATAACAATGAATGGCAAATCTGAACAAATTCGCGAAATTTTGTACCAAAATAAACTATACATAACCTGCGCGTTAGTTCACACTTCTTTTGAAGTAAAATATGAATGCCATTAAATTGTGATTAAATGTAGGCGTGGAAGTCTACACCCACACATGAACCACAACCCTTGGTTGGCAGAAACATACATCAAAGGAATGGAGATAGAAGAAAATTCCAAAAATAAGAAGTTGTTTATATATAGCAGCAAAGAGGCTCCTCACTGATTCATAGGTGTCTATAGCAGAAGTAGCAGCTTGAAGCATAGATGTAAGAACAACTGCACAGTTGCTTTTTTATGCATTTCTTCCTTTCGTTTGTACTGCATTCTGCAAACCAGGGGAATGGCTTTAACCAGGCTCCACCTTAGCTAATGTGAACTGAAGGTAAGAGGTAACGGGCAGGTTATGTATAATGTAGCAAAAATTTATTCAATTCAAATTTATGTTGTGAAAAGTTAGATGCAATTTTTAAATAACAGTAATTTGGAGCAATAAAGTACAGCAGAGAGATTAAACCGACAATATGGTGTAGATACCATGGTGACACCTTCATAATGCATAAACTAATGGTTAACTAGTCAAATGCAATGCATTAATTGGGCAAGCTTGAGTCAGTCGTGGTATATTACGCTGACTCTGCTGCTAGCTAGGCTGTTTCTCTAGTTAAATCTGAGTCTGGAACGCCATCATAGTCCTCTGAGCAAGAAGAGCATCTTTTTCATCCCAGCTGGGTCATTGAGGTTGATCTCAAAGTTTCTTCTTGCTTCATGCATGCACATGTGTTTTTTACAAAATTTCATTAGAATGATGCTACCACATTAGATTATTGACAGTTATTGTAGTGCATACATGGGGCATGACGAGAAGATGAAGACGTATATGCATACATACATACATACAAAAGACTCCAGCTACAGTGGGGCTCACACAAGCTCACCCCAATTATGTTTTTGGAACATTTTAATGGGCCCAGATAGTCAATAAAATTCACAATGGAGGAAGAAAAAGATAGTCACATTTCATTTTTGACTGTTACTGCAAAAAGAGAAGGTTCACAAATACTTAACTTGTCATTCATGTTTGGGATTGTGAGGTGTTTAAAAAACAGAACTATCAATGTGTGTGATAATAAGAGACTTGCAGACGAATTAAGCAGGACTAGCAGGTGTTCTGTGCTAATTTCTTCCAGAAAGGATGATTGATCCAATTATTAGGTGAAGCCCACTAGTTCGAGTAGAGTATGTATGTCTTCACCTCTATTTATTGGTATCATGTCCAGAAATTTTTGGACACGGAGGAATAAACAGAGGTAAAATACTCCACATGCAATGTCAAGATGGCACATGCCATGATAGGCAAAAGTGTTATCAAGGCTATTTTCAGCTTTCTGATACTTCTTAAAAATAATGCATACCTTTACAATTAATTGTTTACATGTTTTTTCTTCTTTAAAGGCTGCTTTGTTGAAGAATAAAGACACTTCCCATTGTACATGCCACGATTCAAAATTCTCCATTGACTTCTATGGACTATTGCATATATCATGCTGTATTTTAACGATCTGTACATATTTAAAAGAAATAAAGTCAATTTGCATACTTTATATAGACTCTATACTACTTTTGCAGTGTACACATAAAAAGAAAAGTAACATTTAGGGTAAAAACTAACTGTACATTCTGCGTTTAAAAAAAGTTGCGCACTAAGCAAATATTGTTGCAGCTGATGATTATCAACATGTCACATGTTTACATTAACCAAGTAATGCTTCCAGGAAGTAGTAAATACAGACCAGGTCAACCCAAGAGGACTGTATGCTGCCTCTTAATTCCCCATCACCTTTTGCATGACTGGTATTTTGAAAAAAAAGGCAAAATAATAGGACATTACTTTGCACACCATTGATGGCTCCAGTAATTTTGTAAAAAAGCCTCATGAGTTCATAGAAGACAGCAGTTTAGCAAGTAGATTATACCCTAAAGCAAGGGCCCAGAGCTCCAAACTAATGAAATTGAAGAGACAGTCACAAGAGAATATGCTAAAAGGAAACTACTGTGTCAGTGTTTATGAGGAAGATGTCAGCATGAAGATCAAATAATAGAGTCACTACAAAAGGAAACAATATCTTTAAGGCTGTGTCATTAAAGTGGTCATTAGCAAAGTCATGTCTTTAAAATACACGTCCACTTCTGTGCTTTACTGGTGAGCCCTTACCATTAAAGAGAAAGTTAAAAACATGACGAGGAAATTCAAGTGTGATGTTTTGTTGACGTACTAAACCAAATCTTAAACTATTTCTGATGGACGATACAAATGAACTGAAAGAATCAAGTACAGTCAGTAGTTCAGGTTTGGGTGCATCAAACAGTCTAAACAAATTGAAGTATTCATATCATACATCCTGTGAGATACTCTAATTGTACCTTATTGGTAAATCTGTTATTTGGTTGGATGATAACCAGGAAGCTTCTTCCTTTGGATAGTTTTTCCATAAAACTAAGTAATGTAGAGTACCCTAAATTTGTAACAAAAACTGCTACATTAATATCAAGTAGCAGGTTTGTTAAAAATTAAGATTTCGCCTCTGTTTTAATATGGCTCAGTAGACTTACTTTCATTTTCTTAACTTTCACTATTCTTTCCACCTCGTATACATTTTCCATAGTATCACTTGTGACTGTAAGACTACTCTCTACACTATCTTCCTTTTCATCTTCCAAAATCAGTCTATAATGGCCATCTCCTTTTCACTTTGCACAGCTCCTTTTTGGTCTTACTGCCACCATAATGTTTTCGTTGCCAAGACAACATATTTCAATAATCCATGAATAATTAATTATTGCCATAAATATCATTACAAAACTATGAATATTATCAAACATCATGAATATAATTATCTATTCAATGTCCGTGCCCTCCATGTAATTTCTGGACATGTGAAAAATTTTCCACTTATGAATAAACTCATCTTAATCATCATTATAAAGGGGTGTGGTTACACTAAAATAACATGGTAG